CCGCCTGTCACCTCCCCAGCTCCTGACGCGCTCTCCTGGCCCCTAGCGCTCCGCCGGCCCTTCTCGTCCCACCGGCCCTGCACGCCTCCGGCCCTCCTCGGCCTCCTGCTCTATTTCTCCCGCTGGAGTGCCCTTCCGCCGAGCCGCTGAGCCGCCGTGTCGCTTTGCCACTGTGCAGCCGAGCCGCTGAGCCGCCGTGACCCTGAGCTGCCATGTCGCCGAGCCGCTGAGCCGCCGAGCCGCAGAGCTGCCGTGTCGCTGTGCCGCTGTGCCGCCGAGCCGTTGTGCCGCTGTCACACTATGCAATGGCGGACGCCGTTCTTCACTTGGACGCTGAGGGGCACGCAATCGACTTCGCTGCCTGGCTCGTCGACCTCCGCCGGCACCTGACAAGTAAGCGCCAGGATGGGGACTCCCTGGCTATGCATGTTGATGGCTTGCTCCCCCGCCCCTCTGCGCCTGATCCCCCTCCTGCTGACCCCACCACTGCTGAGAGCGAGGCCTTTGCTGCTGCTGCGCTTGCTTGCGCTGTCTAGGATTCTCGCGATGCTGTAGAGCAGCTTGCCATTAGTCTGCTGCGCCACGGTGTGCCTATGTTTGACTAAGACATGGATCATATTAGTTCTGCCCTGCATTCTCTGTATGCTGACGCTTCGAGTGTTTCCGGATCATATTATCCTGTGTTCTCTATCATAGGCGTAGCACCTGCGTGTAGTCTGGACTCCCCTGCTGCGTCAGGCGTAGGACCGCTTGCCTTGGCTACCCTAGGCTCTACACTAGCTCCTCCTTCGTCTTCCATTACGGCTTCGCTGCCCTTCACTCTTGACTCCAGTGCGTCAGCCTGCTTCTTCCGCGACCATGCCACCCTCATGCCGCTTGCCGCGCCTGCCGCTGTCGCACTTGCTGACCCCTCCTCTGGTCCTGTAGTTTCTCGAAGCTCCACTACCCTTCCCAGTCCGGCGGTTCCCTCGGGTTCCCTTACAGGCCTACACATCCCTTCGTTCTCCAGGAACTTAGTTGGTGTCGGCTGTCTTCAGGACCTCGGCGTCACCACTACGTTCCCTGGTCACGAGCGGTATGCTGTTTGTACCGAGACCGCCTCAGGTGCCCCCCTTGTGACGTTTCCCCGGGACCCGGTGTCTGGCCTGTTTACGCTGGACACTGCTTCCCCCCCGGTGGCCGCGTCCTCCCCAGGTCCCGCGTCTACCCAGGTTGCTGTGGCTTGCTCGTGTCGGTTGCTCACTCACCCGTCGCTTCTGTGGCACCACCGCCTAGGTCACCCCGCACTCCCGCGTCTGCGTCACATGTCCCAGCACGGTCTCGTCCTAGGCCTCCCTACGTCGCTCCCTGCCCTACCCCCCTCGCCTGCGCCTCCGAACACGCCCTGCGTCGAGGGCCGGCTGCGCCGTGCTCCTCACGCTTCCTCGCTTCGCCCTGCCACTGCACCCCTCCAGACCGTGCACTTGGACGTCTGGGGCCCAGCCCCAGTCCCAGAGCCGCGTCGCAACCGCTACTTTCTCGTGCTCATCGACGACTTCTTGCGCTACACCACGATGTTTCCCCTGCAGCGGAAGGCCGACGTGCCTGACGTTCTTATCCCGTGGGTTGTAGCTGTGCGCCTCCACCGCGGTCTCCCTGTGCTGTGCCTCCACTCCGACCGTGGCGGCGAGTTCGCCTCTGGTCGGCTTGGTCAGTTCTGTCGTGCGGAGGGCATCACCCAGACGTACACCCTACCGGACTCCGTGAAACAAAATGGGATCGCCGAGCAACGCATCGGTTTGGTCATGGAGGTGGCTCGTACCTCCATGATCCATGCTGACGCACCCCATTTTCTGTGGCAGTTCGCCGTTCGCTACGCCGCTCACCAGCTTAACCTCTGGTCGCGCTCCCAGCGGCCGCAAGTTTCGCCGACCCTTCTTTGGACCGGGTTCGTGCCGCGTGTGTGTTCCACGTTTGGGGCTGCCTCGCTCACGTTCATGTCTCACATCACTCCGACGCCGACGCTGCTGCAGCAGCCGCAGCCGTTCATGGACTCTGGGGGTGCAGGCGTTGAGGAGGGTGCTAGACCAGGGGTTCATGTCGTTTTCTTGTCCCGGCGGGCTATGGGGTGGCAACGGTGCTGGAGAGGGTTCTCGCTCTGGGGGTGTTTGTTCCGGGGGTACTGGAGTGGAGTGTTCCGGAGGTGACCGGGGTGCAACTGGTGGTCCAGGTGTCAGCGTCGAGCAGCAGCAGCCGTAGTCGCCGCCGGTGTCTGCCCTTCGCCTGCTCGGCCTTCCCTCCCCCGACCGCTCGCCCATGCCTCCCCCACCGCCTCCTCCTCTTCCTGTTCACGGTCCTGTGTTTCCTCCGCCGGACTCGTCCCCGGCCCGTTTCCCACCTCGTTCCCCTCTTGTCTCTCCTCCTTTGTCTCCTAACCGGACGCCTCCGTGTCACGTCTGGTCTCGCCGTCCCTCTCGTGCTCGTCCAGTCTCTTCTGTTCAGCGTTCGCACCCCATGTTCGTCACGTCCTCCCCTCCTGCCTTCGCCTCCCCCTCTGTCTGACTACCTTCGTGCTGCTCATCATCTTGTTCCTCGAGTCCTTGCCTCCCTCGTTACCGACCCGTCTGTTCCTCTCTCGAGTCTTGACGCTCTTGTCGCTGACTTTGCCTCTACCCGCCGCCTTGACTACGCCATTGCTCTGGTCTCTGTCCCTGCCTATCCTCCGTCCGTCGGGGGTGCTCCTGGCCTTGGCAATGACATCATAGAGGACAGGCAGTACGAGCTTACTTTCCTGTCGGAGGCTGCTCGCCATCTCTGTTCCATGCTGCTAGTCCCTGAGGGTGACCCAGACGCCTTTGACATCCCAGCCCCTCGCACCTACGCTGAGGCTGGGCCTCTCAGTGGATAGCTGCCATGGATCAGGAGATGGCATCTTGGAGATCCACATGCACCTACGTCGACGCAGTTCCCCTACCTGGGGTGAACGTAGTCGATGGCCGGTGGCACTTCAAGGTGAAGCGCCCCCCTGGAGAGCCGCCTGTGTTCAAGGCACCCTACATGGCTAGAGGCTTCAGTCAGCGAGAAGAGGTGGACTTCTTTCAGACCTTCGCCCCGACCCCGAAGATGACTACTCTTCGGGCACCGCTACACGTAGCAGCACACCGTGACTACGAGCTTCACTCCCTCGACTTCCCCACTGCTTTTCTTCAGGGCAGTCTACACGAGCAGGTCTACCTGTGCCATCCTTAGGGCTTCACCGGTAGCTTCCCTCCTGGGACCGAGTGGCTCCTCCGACGCCCGGTCTACAGCCTGCGACAGGCGCCCCGTGAGTGGCACGACACACGGTGTGCTACGCTAGCTGGCCTGCAGTTCTTTCCGTCCGCTGCAGACCCTTCGCTCTGCGTTCGTGCTGGCCAGACTCCGTTCTACATTCTTGTCTACTTAGGTGACCTGGTCTTCGCTACAGCAGATAGAGACGCACTGGCCTGTGTGAAGGCTAAGCTGCTGAGGAGACACACCTGCATTGACATGGGAGAGCTGCGCCGCTACCTTGGCCTACAGATCTCCAAGGACAAAGCAGCGGGCACCATCACTCTTACACATTCACTCTTGGTGTGACAGGTCCTTCAGAGGTTCGGTCTTCAGTTCTCCTCTGCGCAACCTACACCTCTGCCAGTAGACCACAGGCCCTTTGCTCCATTTCTCGAGGAGTCAGTAGAGCCCAGTGGTCCTTACGCACAGCTGGTGGGTTGCCTCATGTACCTGGTGACTTGCACTCGTCCAGATCTCGCATACCCTCTCAGTATCCTGGCTCACTTTGTGGCCACCGGCAGACACCGACCACAAAACTGGTCGGCAGCTAAGAGGGTTTTGCGTTATCTTGCAAGTACATCGGGCATGGGGCTAGTGCTAGGAGGACGCAGGCCAGTGGTCCTTATTGGGCACACAGACGCTTCTTGGGCAGACGACGCTGAGACCCTCAGGTCCTCCCAGGGCTACTGCTTTAGCCTTGGTTCTGGTGCCATCTCGTTGTGGTCCACTCGCTCCTCGTCTGTTGCCCCGTCTATCTGAGAGGCCGAGATCTACGCTGGTGCCACGATGGCACAGGAGCTCCAGTGGCTGACCTTCTTGCTCGCCGACTTAGGTGAGTGGCCTAGCTCTGCCCCGGTCTTGTGCGCTGACAACAGGGCCATGATTTTCCTGTGTCAGGAGCCTCGACTTGAGGGTAGAGCGAAGCAGATCCAGCTATGGTACTTCCTCCTGCACGAGCTTCAACAGCGTCGCCAGGCCCGCGTAGTACACTTGGCCTCCGGTGCCAACACAGCTGATATCTTTACTAAGGCGCTTGCGCCTAAAGATCATCAGCGGCACTGCTTGCAGCTAGGTCTAGTTCATGTAGACTCTCACTTGCTAGGTCCTTGATTTTGTACTCCTCTATATCTATACCTTTCAGACTGGCCTTGTGGCTATTCTCCCAGTGGTCGGACTAGTAGTGCCGCCCTGGTTTGCTCTTGTCTTTTTTGTACCCTTGCTAACTGCTCTTTGGACCCCTTCCTCAGAGGTTGGACTAGTAGTGCCACCCTGAGTTGTGTGTTTCTTGCTCTGCACTACCCCTTATCTAGCCTAGGGGGTGTGTCAACTTATACATATATTACTATGTAGAAGTTATAGGCTAGATAGTTGTATGTTGTTAGAGGGTACAACTAGAACACATATATCTCCCTTGTTCCACTTGTATTCAATCATTCATTCTAGTTAACTGTCGGTTTCTATGGTTTAAGGGGGTTGAGACCGTGATAGAGGAAGAATGGTGTCTGTCCGGTTGCAGTGTGGGTGGCGTTGTTTTAGGCAAACTCCAGGACGGGTAGGTGCAAGTCAAACTTGGAGATGACGTCCTTGCATGCTGCGCGGAGGAGTTGCTCTACAATTCGGTTGAGGCATTCGGTTTGTCCGTCCGTCTGCGGATAGTATGCAGATGACATGGCGACTATGGTCCCGAGCAGAGACATCAGTTCCTTCCAGAACTTGTTGGTGAACTTAGGATTTTAGTCGGAGTTGAGTGTGGTTGGATTGCCATGCTGGAAGATGATGTAGCGAAGGAACAATCGGGCCGTCTCCTTGGTGCGTGCCGTCGTGTGTGTCGGGATGAAATGTCCCATATTGGAAGATTTGTGGATGACGACAAGGAGGGCGTCATGATCGTTGGTGGTAGTTGGTAACCCGGTTATGAAGTCTAGGCTAACCACTTGCCATGGCTGTTCTAGGACAGGAAGAGGCTGTAGTAGTCCTGATTTCTTCTGCTTATTGCTCTTCATCCGTTGACACGTGTCGCATGAGTTGACGAATTTCTGTACGTCGTCTGTCATGTGGGGCCAGTAATAGTGCTTTACAATACCGGTGAGTGTTTTATTGTTACCAAATTGTCTGGCGTACAGGACATCGTGGTATTCTTCGAGTAGTAACTGGCGTAAAGGTGGGTAGTTCGGTACCCAGATTTTCGTTGATCCTTTCCGGTACGCGATGTCACTGTCCCACTGTAGTAGATTTCACTTCTCTGCCAAAGGAATCTCGGGCTCGATGATGTACCCGTGTACCCTTGAGTAGTGGGTTCATCCCTTCCACTTGGATAGCGGCGACGTGTGCAGGTTGACTGAGAGCCTATCGCCTGGAGAGATTTGGCAGTGTCTTCAAATGTTTCCGGCTATAGTGATCGATGTAGACGGCTGTTTTTCTTCGTTCAAGATAACATCTCCATGTTTTAAAGGCAATGATAATAGGAGGGGCATCTTTGTCGTGTATCAGATAATTTATTTCTGCCCTGTATACTTTCTTGCTAAGGTAGGCGATTGGTTGCAGTCCATTCCCCTGGTCTTGCATCAAGACTGCTCTCACTGCCTGGTCACTGACGTCAGCTTCGATAACGTAGTCGTGTTCGGGATCTGGCAAGATGAGTACTGGTGCAGACGTAAGTGCATGTATTAGCTGCTCCACGGCTTCTTGATGGTTTGATTCCCATTGGTAGGGTGTGTTCTTCTTCAACAGATTCGTGAATGGTGCGGCGATTTTCGTGTATTGTGGCACGAACTTGTTGTAAAAGTTGGTGGAGCCTAGGAACTGTTGCAACTCCTTCACATTCTCTGCCGTCTTCCATGTGCATATGGCTTCGATCTTCCTTGGGTCGACGTGAACTTCTTGAGCGCTCACCATGTGTCCTAGGAATTGGACAATCTTGAGGGTGAATTCACTCTTGGATAACTTGACGTAGAAGCGTTCTCGTCGAAGACGAGTCGCAAGCGTTCGACGTGCTGCTTCATATCACGTGAGTATATGAGAATGTTGTCTAGATAAACCACGACGCATTCGTCCAAGAGTGGGCGTAGAATGTGGTTCATATCGGCTTTGAAGGTTGCCGGTGCGTTGGTGAGTCTGAACGGCATGACCAGATACTCGTATGACCCGTAACGAGTACAGAAGGCGGTTTTGTTGATGGAGTTGTTCGCCATTCTTATCTGCCAGTATCCGGACCGCAAATCCAGTTTGGAAAATACCGTGGCTCTCCGAAGCTGGTCAAGCAGGTCATCGGTTCGTGGAATCGGATATATATTCTTAATGGTCTAGTCTCAGTAGCGTTCTGTGCACTCTCGTCAAACTAGGTTTGCCAGCTTGAATTTTGGGCGGAGCCAAGGGATAGAGCAGAAGGTGCAAGTGGAGCAGATGATATAGTAGTGCATGGCACGCTGATTATTGTTTGTTGAAATAAGGATAGAATCACTGGCCGTTCAATGGGTATGTGCAGGGTAAATCAATCAAATGCAGGGTGAGTTGGTGAAGTACCCGTAAGTTGCCCTTCATCATGGCGAATTGCAGCTTGCAAGGAACGGTTTTCTCAGGAAGTGCCTTAGATCGAATTCTGAAGTTGGGCCGACGACGAAGTTTTCCCTTCGGCACCAAGTTTTCCCATGCGACTCGGGAAACTGTGGTGGATACCATCCTTGCTGCGAAACGCTCGCGATAAGGCTTGCGAAAACAAGCCGCGAAAATGCGACCTGCAAAACTTCGCGGCCAACTGGGAAGCGCGCACAACGGGCTGCGACCCATAGGCGACCTGAAAAATGTACCGGATGCGCGTCTGCAACCTGTCGGTCGAAATTTGCAACAACACTGGTACAAAAAAACCCGCCAAGAGCCCAAAACATACCAAACGCGCACAGCGCCGTAAATCGTCGAGTGCCACTTCTCCTACCCAATTCGACAACCTTTCGTACAGACGAACAAGCAATACAAAAAGGCGTTTAGCAGACTACGACTGCAGCATGACTACTTCTAGTTTCTGAAAACAAGCTACAGGTTCCTCCCCGCTGCACTCCTACACCATGGGGCGGAAAAACAAGGGCCAGACAGAGAAACGCAAGGGAATCTCGGAGGTCGAGGCGGCACCGCGCCCGACACCACCCTTTCTCCAGTACCTGACGGATCTCGAGGCAAATGGCATCAAGCGGATCCGCCTAGTCGGCGTCACGGACTTGCCCGCTAGGAGAGGAGGGAAACGGAAGAATGGGCTTGCTGCGTCGACGAATGGCCATGGCAACGACGGCGCGGGCGAATACGGCTGCGGGTCCGAGCTCGATGCGGACACTATCAACCCCGAAGACGAGCGCTATTGTGACTCCGACGGCTACACCGCTGCCGACCAAGTGGACGACGATGGCGACGAGGACACCGAAACACCTGCAGACGGTGCAAACAGGAGGGGCAAGGGGAAGGTGTCCGGCGCGAGACAAGCGAGTCGATATTGGGAGGAGGACGAGCTTGCAGAGCTTGTGGCGGCAATGTGGGCAGCGAAAGAAGACTTCGACACGCTGAGGGGCAAGTAGGGAGGGCAGCCATGGAAGAAGCTACGCCGCGTGCTGCGCGAGGCGAATCCCAACTGGTGCCGTCCTAGTTACGCCATGCAGAAATGTTGGGCGCGCCTCAAGAGTCGACTGGATGAAATCGAGGAGGCAGATTCCAAGTCCGGTAACAACCCGATGCCCAAGCCGGAGTGGTACCAGCATGCATGGAATTACTGGAATTGCGACCGCGCTCCGAACCCCCATGTCGTCGACGAAGGTGGTGCGCGCACTGAGCACGCGACGCCGCGGACGGCGCACGGCACGCGGTCCGCACCTTCTACCGCACCCCCGGAACTACCGCGCCACGTACGGAAACCCCACACAAATTCAATGTACGGGAACCCCGAGTCATTGAACAAACTTTCGATCACGCACTCAAGACACGGGGCCTTATTACAGAACAGGGCACAAACGAACGTTGAGACATAACCTCAACTAACCCACACTACCCCAACTCCCACACTCCCATCAGGCTCGACGGTTTCACCTGGAAACATCGCGCAAAATAGTCACGCCGTAGAGCCGCCGAGAAACGACGTTCATCAGGTCGTAGCCGATACGCTCACCCGTGTGATGGAAGAGCGTACAGCGCGCCAAGAAGTCGTCATGGGGAAGCTCGTTTCTGTTATGGAGCTCCTCACCCAGGCGGCCGGAGCCGCGCCAGCACCTGTCCCACTGCGGGCTCCAACGGCTGGAACCCGCAGTGGGACAGCCTCGCCTGGTGGCCGTCACATCGACGGAAGCACCATGCCATCTGGATTTCAGCATGGTGCGCCACACGGTGCCGGCTTTGCTTCAGTGTACCTTGCATGGTTTCCATCCGGTGGCTCGCCGAAACGTGACGTCAGTGCGGTTCCTTCGCAGAATGCGCCAATTCACGCATCGGTCCTCCCGTTTCCCGCTCCCGATGCTGTACATGTCGCGCACGTCGCGGCGCCAGCACACTCTACGGACGAGGGTGGCGGGCCGGCGCGCCAATCGCACCTTGATTCCGCGCCGGCGGCACGCACGACCGCGACGGTTGTCATGGGGGCAGATGGAAATTGGTATTTCATTGCCCCCCCATTTGATGGCCATCTTCACCATGCCGCATGAGCCATGCGGCGTGGATGTGTGTGCCGAAGTCCCGGCGACGCGCGACCACTGCCTCGCGGTTGGGCACAGGAGTGGGCTGCCATACGTACTCCGCCATACCCCGCCTCTCCCACCACCTGTTCAATTCTCTAGCCGTGCCATCTCTCCACTGTCCGCGTGATTGTCTTTTAGCGGAGGCTTGGTACTCTATCATGTTATGTAGAACCACTGCACATCCAGCTCTCGCGCACACCCGCCAAAGCCGCCCCCCGTGACATCCTCCGAAGATCCGAAATCTGTTTTTGAATAACCCCATGGTCCGCTCCACTGCCATCCCGCGTTGATGATTGCACGTAATTAAAACTCTGCTCCCATCCTAGCAATATTCTAGCCTTGCTTGCGTGTATCGGAACTAAACAGAAATCCTTCAAAGGGTATGCCGCGTCACCCAACACTTGGTATGGCATAATCTCGCCATTTTCCCATGCGTGCATAAAGAGCACTCTTGGTAAAGACCCTTGCATCGTGTGCGGACCCTGGCCATCCGACGACATAGTCCCAAATACGGCACTTGGAGTCCACGGTCAACTGTAATTGCACGGAGTACATTTGTTTCCGACAATAGTACTCCGAGCGCCATTCGTGGATGCCGCGGACTTGTAAGTGCGTGCCGTCTACAGCCCCTATGACGTTGGGTATCCCTCTGCAGGCGCGGAAATCCAGCGCCATCTCGGCCATTTCTTCTCGTGATGGGAATTGAACCCAGGCTTCTTTGTAACGTTTCGGGAAAGAAAGTAGGAAGCGGTCAACGATGCAGTGACAAACTGTCTTCGGCACCCCGAAGTAAAGACTCATATCCAGATAGGTCATCCCCGTCGCTAAATACTTTATCAGTATCAGAATACACAGTGGTAAAGGCACGCCATGAGAGACGATGATGTTGTGGTAATCATTTGCCATGCCCTCCTTCAAGTGTTCTAGTATGTCTCGGTCGATTCGGAAAAGGTCCTCAAACTCAGCATCGTCGAAATCGTCGATGCGGTCCAGCCACCACTGGATCCGCTCACGTCTGTACTCTGCATAGCGCTTATGGCAAGCGCGTCGGGTCTCCGCGCGTTTAAGCGCATATTCCACGCCGATCGCATCGAGGGCTTCCACTACGAGCTGAGCTACAATTATGTCTGTGACATCGTCGTCGAGGCGCTGACATTCCATGAACGCGGCTACTGCTGCTGCGGCAGTTGCTAGAGTGTGAGCCATGGCGGAATAGGACCTTCGAACCTGCACTGCTAAACTGTACCCAACGCGTTGCGATGTTGCTGTTATATGGCTAAAGAGGCGATATTGGGGTCCAGGAAGTTCTGCCCGTTATTCGTTTCGTGCCTCGTTTGTTTGTGTGCTGTTACGGGCAGCTGATGCGGTAACCGTGCCACTGGGCCGTCTGTTTTGCAAACGTGGCTCACGTTCAGTCGAGGCGCATTCACCCACAGTACCAATTTTCGCCGGACGTGTTGATCACGTTGGTCGTGCGCCCACGTCGCAGGGCACGTTGGCGAAACTTTTGGTTTCGGCAAAAGCCGAAGCGCACAGCCCAACATTGCATTCCCAATTTTAGACATTTCGAGCCGCATGGGAAAACTTTGTTCGTCGGCCCAACTTCAGAATATGATCTTATTCGATTCGTTCTATGGCCCTTGTCGCGGGCCGCCGATGGCATTCTCAGGAACGGGCCCCGAGTCCTCTTTTTGGGTGTTACGACAGAATCTGGTTGAACCGACGGAACGCTCCCTGAACTTGACACTTGGATCGATTCCGACGCGACGCAGGTGCAAAGCTCCAAAGCTTTGTAGCAGTCCCACCTACTATTTTCAATTTTGCCGTTACCATTCGCAAAAACGCTTCCGGTTTTTTTACCACGCCAATTTTTGTTTGAAGCTTAGAACCGTTTTTTTAGGATGCCGGAATCTGATCAAGACTAGTAGAACGAATGGCCTTTCAAATGTTATATTCCAGATAATACGAAAGCCGGAAGTTTCGCCGCACGTCAGCTCCATCAATGTCGTCATCATCGTCATCATGGCATCGCGGCCATCAAAACCTCATTCGCAGACCGTTACACGTGCGATCCGCGACGCCGACGTCGCTATCGCCGATGAACTACTTCACGGCGCAGATCAAGCCATGGCACATCCTGTGCGTGCTCGGCCTCGCGACGCAGCTGTACATCTTCCGCCAGTACGAGCTCGGCTGCAAGTGCCGCCAAGCGTACGCAGCAGCCGGGCTTCAGTACAGTAGTTCCGGCGTTACATCTCAGCAGCAGCAGCAGCAGGGCCAGGGCTCGTACGGTTCCGGCGTTGCATCTCAGCAGCAGCGCGGCGGTGATGCGAACGGGGATTCGTACGGGTGGCAGGGTGATGGTCGAGGGGGGGAGATTCCGCACCACGGGCAGCTGGAGACCTCCTGGCAACACGGGCAGGATTCAAAAATTTCACAAGATTACCAGCAGCAGCAGCAGCAACAACAATTGGAGCAGGAGGAGCGAAAGAATAAGCAGGAGCAGGCTGGTCAGCTGGTCAATCAAGGCGAGCCACGTCAGCAGCAACGGAACGAGCACAAGGCATCCAAATGGAGCCTTATCCGCAAGCGTTCGCTGGGTATGCTCCAGCTGAAGCGCCTTGTTTGACCCTAGCAAACCAGTCCTGCTCGTAGGACATTCTTCCAGTGAGCGCCGCGCAGTCGTAGGATTGAATGCTCCCTGTCGTAGGGTTGTACGGCTGCGCGGCGCTCACTGGAAGAATGTCCGAAAGTCCTGCTCCGGTCCAGTGGACTGCATCGCATGGAGTGATGTCTGCTTTTGAGTGGACTCAAAAGCGGTCCGTTGGACCGCATTGCATGGAGTGATGTGCTTCTACCGCGCTGGCCCCTGTTTTGAGGCGCGTCAAAACTGCTGTGTTTCCTCCTCTCTTCCGCGCCCTTTCCTCCCCGCCACCCTTCCCTCCCCATCGCCATCCCCATCCCCATCGCCATCGCCATCGCCATCCCCATCGCCATCCCCATCGCCATCCCCATCGCCATCCCCATCGCCATCCCCATCGCCATCCCCATCCCCATCGCCATCGCCATCCCCATCCCCATCCCCATCGCCATCCCCATCCCCATCGCCATCGCCATCCCCATCGCCATCCCCATCCCCATTGCCATCGCCATCCCCATCCCCATCCCCATCCCCATCCCCATCCCCATCCCCATCCCCATCCCATCCCCATCGCCATCACCATCCCCATCGCCATCCCCATCCCCATTGCCATCGCCATCCCCATCCCCATCCCATCCCCATCGCCATCACCATCCCCATCCCCATCCCCATCGCCATCCCATCCCCATCACCATCGCCATCACTCTGTCCTCACCGGCCTCAACCCTCCTTCATTACCACTCCCCACCTTCTCCCCCCCCCCACCTTCTCCCCTCCCACCTTCTCCCCCCCACCTTCTCCCCCTCCCACCTTCTCCCCCCCACCTTCTCCCCCTCCCACCTCCCCCACCCTTCTCCCCCCCCACCTTCTCCCCTCCCACCTTCTCCCCCTCCCACCTTCTCCCCCCTCCCACCTTCTCCCCTCCCACCTTCTCCCCCTCACCTTCTCCCCCTCCCACCTTCTCCCCCTCCCACCTTCTCCCCCTCCCACCTTCTCCCTCCCTCCCCCACCTTCTCCCCCTCCCACCTTCTCCCCTCACTCTCCCCTCCCACCTTCTCCCCTCCACCTTCTCCCCCCCCACCTTCTCCCCCTCCCCACCTTCTCCCCCTCCCACCTTCTCCCTCCCACTTCTCCCCCTCCCACCTTCTCCCCCTCCCACCTTCTCCCCCTCCCACCTTCTCCCCCTCCACCTTCTCCCCCTCCCCACCTTCTCCCCCTCCCACCTTCTCCCCCTCCCACCTTCTCCCCCTCCCCACCTTCTCCCCTCCCACCTTCTCCCCCTCCCACCTTCTCCCCCCACCTTCTCCCCCTCCCACCTTCTCCCCCTCCCACCTTCTCCCCTCCCACCTTCTCCCCTCCCACCTTCTCCCCCCCCACCTTCTCCCCCTCCCACCTTCTCCCCTCCCACCTTCTCCCCCTCCCACCTTCTCCCCTCCCACCTTCTCCCCCTCCCACCTTCTCCCCCCCCCTCTCCCCCCCCACCTTCTCCCCCTCCCACCTTCTCCCCCTCCCACCTTCTCCCCCTCCCACCTTCTCCCCCCCACCTTCTCCCCCCCCACCTTCTCCCCCCTCCCACCTTCTCCCCCTCCCACCTTCTCCCCCCCCCCACCTTCTCCCCTCCCACCTTCTCCCCCTCCCACCTTCTCCCCTCCCACCTTCTCCCCCTCCCACCTTCTCCCCCCCCACCTTCTCCCCCTCCCACCTTCTCCCCCTCCCACCTTCTCCCCCTCCCACCTTCTCCCCCTCCCACCTTCTCCCCCTCCCACCTTCTCCCCCCCCACCTTCTCCCCCTCCCACCTTCTCCCCTCCCACCTTCTCCCCCCCCACCTTCTCCCCTCCCCCTCTTCTCCTCCCCACCTTCTCCCCCCTCCCACCTTCTCCCCCTCCCACCTTCTCCCCCTTCCCACCTTCTCCCCCCCCCCCCACCTTCTCCCCTCCCACCTTCTCCCCCCCCACCTTCTCCCCCCCCCCCCCCACCTTCTCCCCCCCCCACCTTCTCCCCCCCCCCCCCCCCCCACCTTCTCCCCCTCCCACTTCTCCCCTCCCACCTTCTCCCCCCCCACGTCCCTTCTCTGCAACCAGTTGCGTCTGTCACGTCATCACGCTCAACCCCCCGTGCCTCCTGTCAACGCATGCTGTCGTCCCTTCCCGTCCTCCACCCATCTGCACCCATCTGCACCTTTCTCCTCTGTCCCCGTCAGTAACGCTCTTTTGTATCTGTCCCCCCGAGACGCCCCCTTTTTCTGCCAGGATGGACGAGTCGCAGCTGCACCTGGTGGCGCACGACACCTGCAAGCTGGAGAAGGTGGGGGGCGGGGGGGCGACGACTACGGTGCGTGGAGCCTCTGCACCAATCATGTGCGGCCAGGTGGCGTGGTGTACTCGTTTGGCATCGGCGCTGACGTGTCATTTGACAACGGGATGGTGAACCGTGGCCACAAGGTGCGTACGTCTTTGCAGTGTGTCCGGTGGTCAACTCAACTCATTCTTACATATGAGTCGACTCAAAAGCCACTTCGTTCGAGTGCGTTTGATAGCCACCACATGCAGCTAGTGCAGTTCTCATAGGTTCTGTGCGGTGCAGCTAGGTCAAGAGAGCACCATTTGCTGCATCTTCTTGCATGCAATGTGGGGATATGAGTATACAGAAGGGAGGAGAAGGAGTGGGCATGGTACACGAGAATAGGTTGTGTTTCGGCATCTAGCCTCTACCCTGACTCCCACCCTGCCGTTTTGAACAGGTGCCCTGTTTTTTTTCTGCTGCGCTTTCCCTTCTCCCATCCCTCCTCCGACCCCCACCTCTCCCCCTCCCCCCCTCCCCCTTCTAGTGTGCGCATTTGTGTAGACCACAACGGAGATTTTTTAGTCGACTATAAAATCACCTCAAGTGTGCGCATTGGTGTAGATCACAACGGCGAGTAGTGGTCTGCTTTTGAGTCGACTCAAAAGCAGACTCTTCCAACCCCCCACCTCTCACCCTTCCCCCCCTCAAAAATCACCTCTAGTGTGCGCATTGATGTAGACCACAACGGCGAGTAGTGGTGGCCTGTCACTCACTCATCTCTCCTTCAACCCACACCTGCCTTTTTGTTCCCCTTTCTCCCCTCTGTCGCTCCCTCTCCCTCCAGGTCTTCGGCTTCGACCCAACCGTCCCCCCAGAGCGCGTGCAAGCCATGTTCAAGGACCACCACAACCGCGACCAGCCCTCGGCCTTCCAATTCCGGCAGCTCGGTCTGGCGGGCACGGACGGCATAGTGACGTTCTTCCACTCCAAGAACCCCCGAGTCCAGTCCATGACGGCCGTCAAGCCCGAGAAGCTCTCCGGGCGCTTCGAGGCCCAGGGCATGCCGGCACCCGTGCTGCGACTCCCCACGTTCATGTGCGGCAACGGGCACGGATTCGTGGACGTGCTCAAGATGGACGTGGAGGGCGTGGAGTTCGACGTGTGCGACGCGTGGCTGCGCATGCGGTCGCCGCTGCCGTTTGGGCAGATTCTGATTGAGTTTCATGATCGCATGGTCACGGATGCCAAAGCGAGGAAGGGCGCGTGCTTGAGGGCGCTGGCGAGGAACGGGTTTGTGGAGGTGTATGTGAGCGAGAACTTTCAAGAGGCGACCTATGCACGGATGGCCAAGAAGGGAAGGGATGACACCATGGCATGAGGCTAGGCTACATGTGAGGGATTGTCCCCAAGAAAGGCACAGTATGGGGGACGTTCAGTGCACACAGTGTATAGTGTCTGATCTCTTGGTTTCTTCATTATTGTTCTCCAGCAAGGCTGACGTGACAGGATTACCACAGGCTGTCACCTGGTATTCTTTGGTGGACAGGGACAAGGTGCAACCACCCATCCAGTGCAGGGATTTAATTTCACACCAAGAAAGGATTACATATTTCACAATTGGGCAGGTCACTCACACTAGCAAAACTCAAGACTCACAAGCTAGTCAACGAAATCCAGGAAGAACTACCGAGTCAAGAATGTACACTCATGCACACACGCACCGAGACAGAGAGCCTGGTCTCCACAGGTATGTGCTTGCAATCCTGGCAGTCTTATAGAGAAGCCAAACCACAGGACACACTTGTCGGTGGCGCATCAGAAAACGACATGCAGAAGCAGACCCACAGTGCACTTGAATTGAAACCAGCTGCACCGCTCTTTCTCTTGGACAAAACTACACGTTGCGCATTTTGCGTTGGGCGACGGGCTGCAAGGCGGCTCTCTGCTGTCCTGCAGATGACAGGCTGCACGGCTGTGCTGTCCTTTAGATGGCGAGCTGCACGGCGCGCACCACGAGGTACATCAGCGCGATGAAGAAGGCTGCCTGGTACAGGTCCTTGTTCGGGTCGCCCTGCTGCACGAACTGCGGTATTAATGGGGTGGGGGAGCGGTGGGGTGATAGGGGTTGGTGGGAGTGGTGGGATGGGGTGGGGTGGGGTGGGGTGGGGTGGGGGGGACAATGAGGAAATTCTGGATGAACAAGGCTGCCTGGACCAGCTGCACATCATGCGGTGGATGCGGGAGGGTGGCTTTGAGGCGCCTCAAAACTAGACATGATGTGGTGGATGTGGGAGGGCGGATAGGATGGCGGGAATGGGTGCAACATGAAGGGTCCAACATGAAGGGTGCAACATGAAGGGTGCAACATGAAGGGTGCATGGTAGATGGTCCCCCTGGGGTCGCCCTGCTGGACGAACAGCACTGAGGGCCATGGGTGGGGTGGATGGTGGGGTGGATGGTGGGGTGGATGGTGGGGTGGATGGTGGGGTGGATGGTGGGGTGGATGGTGGGATGGCAAGAGTGGATACAATATGAAGGCTGCCTGGTAACGGCCCCTGTTACGGTCGCCCTGCTAGATGAGCTGCAGTGCAATCATGGAGAGTGGTGAGAAACGGTTGATTGGGATAATAGGGATGATTGGATGGTCAAGATGGTGGGGAGGGAACGACGTGGCTGATGGAATTATCTGGGTGATGGGACGATGTGGGTGGTGGAGATGGTGCGAAGAATACTAGGGGATTGAGGGCGCGAAGCACGGTGGCAGAGAGATGGTAGGACGATGAGCAGGGGAGGCGGGAGGGAGGAGGGGTGACAGACGACGGGGAATTCAGGGTGCTGCTGGCTGGATGCTTGTGCGGTTGTCATTCTCTCAGCTCACTGTCTGGAGAAGTGAGAAGGACTAGAGTGTGTGGTGTTGAAGGTTTCATCCCACTTCCCGCATCCCTCCTCGTCTCACAGCTTCCCCCTCACTCGCGCGCATTTCAACCCTCCGTTCCAAAGCCCCTACAACCCCACCCTTTCCCACCACACGCACACCCCCTCACGCACTTTTCTAGGGTCGCCAGACGGGTGCGGATAAATATACCCGAGTCGCGGCCCCCGCTCTTCCCGCCCTCCTCCGACTTCTCCGTCACGTCTTTAATCGCCTCTGACGTCGCCCACGCGAGCCGCGACGCCCAGAACGCCAGCTGGATGGGCAGCGCTGAGCTGGCGACGTCCCATTGGTCGCGGTGGTCGGTGACCTGGCCGCTGATCTGGTTGAGCGTGAACGTCGACGTCACTCGCGCGTCAAGCAGCCCGCCTGGGACGGTGAGGTAGCCGCGCAGCTGCCAGGTGATCTCGAGGACGCTCGTGGATTCCATCGCCATGCCCAGCATGTGCTGAAATCGAAGGCGTGTGAGTAAAACGGGGGATCACGAAGGAGAGAATAACGAAAATAAAGACGACGACGGAGGGACGAAGGCGAGGGGAGAAGAAGCGGGATGACGGGCAGTACAAAGCTCAGTTGCCGCAACCGCTGCGCGCGCTGTAACCTGTTTAACTTAGCTAACCCGTTACGAACCGACGTTTGAGTCGACTCAAAAGTCATTACGAATCCTAACTAATGCTACCAACCAGAGCTGGACGTCGAATCCCACGACAAGTGTTGCTGACCTGGCTGCTATTCCCGTGCAAATAAACAAGGTAGTGAAAACCGGGTCGCCTCACCACATCGGCAGCGCACCATCAGCGTGAAAGACGCAATAGACTGCTCTACGAAGTTACGAAGCGCGCTGCTACAGAGCCTGCTGCCGCGCACCAGGGGGGGGGATTTCGAGTCGGCTCAGGGCCACTGCTCACCACGGAGGGGTTCTGGAGCGCGCTGCGGATCCACGAAAGGCGGCGATATTTGTCTCGGCCTGTGAAGGAGCGGATCGAATCCTGAGGGAGCAAAGATGGGAACAGACAAGGCGGGCAGGGGTTCAGGAATCGAACACGTGGCCGCGGGGAGGGGGAAGAGGGGCGAGGAAGTAATATTTGACGGAATATCAAAACCAGGAGAAACGGCGTTGCTAACCTACCCCGAAAATGTTGCAATCTTTGACAACATGTTTATCCCGAAATTTTCGTAATCGGTGAACATTGGGTCGTTTAAAAAGTTTTTTCAAGAATTGTATTGATATGCTGGCCGCCCACCCTTCCCCCCACCCCCTCCCCCCCCCCCCTTCATCTCGGCGTGAGACACGTGTACCATTTCTAACGTGCCACCTTGACCCTTGATTGAGACGCCTCGAATCGCCTTACAGAGTATTTCGAGTCGTTGGCGAAACATGACAGCGTCCTCGTGTCTTCGCGCATGTCGTGAATGTCTTTCGCCAACCGTTTCGCCGTTCGCTCGACGGCCGGGCTGCTCACGCACTGGAAGTCGTCGCAGAGCTGCGCGAAAGTCATCCCTCGCACCAACGTCGCCACCTCCTCATCCTCGTCACTCTCCTCCCCGCTCCCGCCGCCGCCGCCGCCGCTGGCGTTGGCGCCTTGCTCCTTGGGCTCTGGTGCGCCTCCCTCCACCGCGTCTTTCGTCGCCACGTGTCGTCTGGTGATTGGTCTTTTCGACGCGTGGCAGATGCTGCGAGGGGGGAGGGGGAGGGAGAGCGGGGACGAGGCATGGTGCTGCGGCAGCGCGGAAGCTTCGTGGAAAGGCGCTCTGCTGCTGTCTGATTGGTGGATGGCGGCAGAGACGCAGCGGCGCGGGGGAAGGCCGGGAACTGTGCCGAGAGTCGCGACACTAGCGAAGGTGCTCTTAGCGGGGTCCGCACTAGGGATGGGAGTGCGTCGCGGTGGAAACGCGCAGCGTGTCCATGGAGCTCAGCCCTTCGACCACCGGCGGCTCTGACGCCGTAAACGCTTATGGACACGACGGACTAGGCTGAGCGGGAGATGGGTGACTTGAGGGAGAATGAAAGAGTAACCGGTCGCTGGAAGGAGTAGATAGGAAGGGATTACTGTAAAGCATAGCCCATCCAACAGAAAGATTCTGGCTGTACCAGCCAAGAGCCAGGCACCACAACCAGTGTAATGGCAGCTTGCGGTCGTGTACGGTGGAGAGGGTGTACCTTTGTTTTAGTACGTTACAGCACGGTGTATCGCTATATGATTATTTTCTGTGGTGGTGACGAAAGCGGGCGAAGCTGCTCCGCCTGCTTCTGCAACACGAGGGCTTCGTCGTGCGTCACCCCTCGTTAGAGTCAAGTCAAGCCATTTGAGCTCTCTGGAGCATCCGAGGTCCACGTGCTCTCTGTGACGTGGCAATTCTTGCTGGCAGCAGCGTCCTGTCAGCGATGAGAGATGCAATGGTTGGTGATCAAAGCAGAGGAGGACGTGGATGGAGTGCGACAAGACGTGGACGGGAGGGCGAATTTACCCGGCTGTGTTCAAGCACATCAATTGCTGAAAGTCTACAGTTGCGCGCGTGAATATTTTGTTGCAATGCAAAAACTTTACGAAATAGTAGGCAAAAATAAGTTTGTCCACTATCGCGTACAATTGCTCCACTAAACCTTCTGTCTCTATAGGCACTTGATTACTTGATTCATCTCCATGGCTTCGGTTTCACTAGCCTCCGCCTTCGCGGCTTCTCCCGTCACTTGCGGCGGGGGATGCGGAGAGCTTTCCGTCCTCCGTCCAGTAATTTCGCCGACGATCGGTTTGTCCCCCGCTAGCCCGTCGTCGCGTTGCCTTGTGGTTACCGCATTCGCCGGTCGTTCGTCTCAGAGTTCGCCAACGTCGCAAGGCGGCAACCCTTTCGCCAATCTAAAGCAGAGCTTTCCGTTGGGCAGCAATGCAGCCGAACCACTGTACGGCCGAGATGATAACGGTTCAGATATCGACGCTGCGCGGAGCAGAGAAAACCCCGAGGATTTTGTGATTATTCGCAGGAGTGATTCTAGCGGGCGAACAGGCGGAGACCCACGAACCGCGGGTGGCGGAGGCGGTAAGAGAGGAAGCGCGCCGAGCAGAAGCGCACCTGCAGGGAAAGACGGGGGCCAACAAGGAGGGAAGGGCGCGGCTTCGGCAAAGGGCGGCGGGGTAACGGTGCAGGCGACGCGGCGCGGACGTGGCGGGAAAACGGTGACGGTGGTGGACGGGCTGCGATTGGCTGGTGGCGATGCTGAGGTGGCAGCGCTGTTGAAGAAGCTGAAAACGGCGCTCGGGAGTGGCGGGGCCGTAAAGGACGGATGCCTGGAACTGCAGGTGAGAAAGGAAGTGAGTGAGGGAGTGGAGGGAGTGGAGGGAGTGGAGGGAGTGGAGGGAGTGGAGGGAGCGGATGAATGCGCGTGGAAACAGTGAGAGAGAGTACGGAAAGAGTGGACGGAGTGGCGAGGCTGTGAAGGATGGGTGTATTGCGTTACAGATGAGTGAGAGGTGAGTGAGGGACTGAGTGGGTGAGTGAGTGCGCGGGAATGACTGAGTGGGGGGTAGAGAGAATGTGAAGAGTGTTGCATGGAGAGGGAACAATGAGGGGTGGAGAGTTGTAGAGGGAAGGATGTTCAAGAGAGCACCAACCTTCCACCCTGACTTATATTTTGTGGACCAACCTTCCACCTCTTCATCTCATGTCTCCGTGGCAGGGTAACGTGGCGTTGGAAGTGTTGGGAGCTGCTGTAATGGAGCGATGCTAAAAGCATGTTACGATGTCACCAAAGCAAGTCCCACTATCTCACAAACCGGTATCCCCCTCTTCATCCCATGGCCCGTGGCTGGCAGGGAGATGCGGAGGAGCGAGTGGTGAGCTGATGCAACACTTAGTTATCTCGTGTGAATTGTTTCCCATTGTTTCCCCCTCTTTGTCGCATGGCCTGTGTGGGTGGCAGGGTGACGTGGCAGACCGAGTGGTGGAGTTGCTGGGGACGATGGGCATCCAGGCCAAGAGGAGTGGGGGGAAGTGAATGGAGAATGAGGAAAAATGAGCACAACTGTGAATGGCTCTGAAATTATTGTTGATGGGCTTTACAAGTTCATTTGGAACTAAACTACATGGGTGGGAACTGAACGCCCAGGCCAGGAAAAGTGTTTGCAGGGAGGAGGTAGCACTATCGCAAGGATGAGAACACAGGGATTGACTAAGAAGTGTTCTAAAGGCTTTGTTGAAGGTGTTGGAGGATGTGATGCGAAAAGCATCTTCAATTAGTACCAAAATCGTCAACCGTTGCCCTCCAAAGTGCGAGTATGTAGAAACATTGCAATTAGGATAGCAACACAAAGCATAGCTCATATTTGTGATTAACATGTTCCGTACCGTATCCGTTGCAGAATTAGTTCATTCTTGTCATCTGAATCGCTGCTGCGTCTTGCCGAGTATGCTGCCCAGAGCTTCGTGCATCACCCGCTGGATCTCATAAATTAGCTGCCACCTCCCCCCCTACAACGGATCTATTTAGCCTCCCGTGAAGTCAGCCGCCCCCGTCTTCCCTCACTGACCGCCCATCTATTTCGCCCAGCTGGCCTTACGACACGAAGAAAGAGATACGTAGCTGCAGCAATCTCTACATTTCATGCCCATCGCACGGGGCGTCAAATCGTGACTGGTTACAATCCACGTAGGGCGGCAAGCTGCACGGGTTACTTTTTACGTCGGGACACGGAAGAGTTCGCAGCTTCAGGGACGAATCAATGCGGGTTCTGCGGATCCTTCGCCGAGGTGATGAGGCACTCAAGAATTGAACGGACATGATTATCTAGAATTTCTCTCCAGCGCACAGGGCACCGTGAAGCACGCCAGTCTCCATGTGGCGATAGGCTTCATGTGCGTCACGTGCGACGAGTACACGTCAGACATGGCCAATCCAAGCATCAGGTGAGTAGATCCACGTCGAATGTGTTGCCTGTGGTCGAAATCATCAAGGCATCGACGTCAGCAAGCTGCACCAGCGTGCGCTGTCATTGTCGGTGCGAAACGTAGCGGTGGATAAGGTTCCAGAACACGTCGCGTGGCTTGAACCGTTCGATTGCTTCCCCTTGCCACCTCATTTCGCGTCGTCCACGTGAATGCGCTGGCAGGGGGAAGCCTCGGTGGGTCAATCGTAACCACTGCTGACGTTCTAGAAGGAGCGTGGAGCTCCGACGACCGTCCGATCTAGCTCTACGTCGGTTCGCTGGCAAAAAGCCTTGCCAGCGGCAATCGCAGCTCTGGTGTGGTCCTAAATCTTGAGCCACGCAATCCTAGACGGCGTTGGCCTGGCTGTGCGGCCTACGAGCGGAGGGGAAGCAACGCTCTACGGTGGTGTTCCCTCTGCCTGACAGTACAAATGGCCAGCTGACAGCCATTTCGTCTTCAATCACATTCGATTATTTCAGCTCTAGTTGAATCACTCCCTCGTCGCCGATCGTCCACTCCTCGTGCTGTAGTGCCTGTGAAACCCCACTAGAACTTCCTCCACGCTCTCTCTGCTGGATCGTTCCAGCTCCTAAACCTCGCATCCGATGGCATTCTTACACCCGGAATCCGCTGTGGCAGTGGCTCTTGCTGCTGCCACATGTTTTGGAGACGCAGCAAGGTACATCTGGGATATTCCCAGCTGGTTACTCTGCTCTCCTGCAAACTCAACCCCATTTGAATGGCTGATGGACTTTACTGCGGCTGATGAAGCCGAGCTCAGAAATGGCTCAGCTAAGAGACGCTCGACTCAGCTGCTGCCGCTGCTGCTGGCAGGATACAGCACGGTGAGCCAAGCCGAGTTCATTTCTGAGTGGACGGAGGAGGATGCGGCATTCTTAAGGAGTGACGCATCCAAAGCTCGTATCTCTGCCGAATCTTCCGAGTGGCTGACGGAAAAGACTCTTGTGAATCCTGCTGAGTTCATTTCCGAGTGGACGGCAGAGGATGACGCTTGTCTAAGAACTGACCAGATCCGAGCTCGTGCATCTGCTGATTCCGACGAGTGGCTTGCCGAAAGCACTCCTGTGAACCCTGATGAGTTCGTCACGGAGTGGACGTCCGCTGATGAGGCGTATTTGACGCAGACGTCTGTCAGGAGCGACAGGCAAAAGCACGGTCTTCGATCTCATCTTGGCTTCTCTCGTCTGAGACCTGCTGCTATGGATGTTGCTGTTGCTGTAATGAGTGCTGCGGCCAACATTGTGAGCGTTGCTGCTGCTGCTGCTGCTGGCGCCGTGAGTGCTGCTGCTGACACCGCTGCTGCTGCTGCCGCAGACGCCATGGGAACAGTTCCTGGTGCTGTTGGCGTTGTGGCTGCTATTGCTACTGCTCCTACTCCTGCTACTGCATCACCAGCAGCATCAGCAACGAAATCCTCGCCGTGCAAGCGGGCAGTCAAGCCTGCAGCTTGCAAGCCAGCAGTCAAGCCTGCAGCGTGCAAGCCAGCAGTCAAGTCTGCAGCTTGCAAGCCAGCAGTCAAGGCTGCAGCGTGCAGGTCAGCGGCCAAGCCTGCAGCGTGCAAGCCAGCGGTCAAGCCTGCAGCGTGCAAGCCAGCGGTCAAGCCTGCAGCTTGCAAGCCAGCGGCTAAGCCTGCAGCTTGCAAGCCAGCGGTCAAGCCTGCAGCTTGCAAGCCAGCGGTCAAGCCTGCAGCGTGCAAGCCAGCGGCTAAGCCTGCAGCGTGCAAGCCAGTGGTCAAGCCTGCAGCTTGCAAGCCAGCGGCCAAGCCTGCAGCTTGCAAGCCAGCGTCAAGCCTGCAGCTTGCAAGCCAGCGGCCAAGCCTGCAGTTGCAAGCCAGCGGTCAAGCCTGCAGTTTGCAAGCCAGCAGCGAAATCCGCTGCTACTCCTGCCACTGCCAGCGTTGGTGCTTCTCCTGCTGTTACATCACCTCTGAGGCGGCATCGCAGAATGGGTTGCAGGGAACAACAGGGGGGAGAAGGGGGAAATAAGCCAGGCAGTAGCCTCGCAGAAACAAGTGTCTCAGAAATCTAGGTGGATGTGAAAGGTACCTAAATAGGTACTTCGATTTGTAGTGAATTCTGTACATAATCCTGTATAGCATATATTTTCCTCGAAATTTTGAATTCAAAACTGGTTGGAACAATGCTGGTTTTGCTGCATCCAGGCGTACAGCCACACTCACTCCCTGAGTTGAATAAAGGCTGTAGAATACAGAAATTGCTGTCTTCATATGCATTTATGATGTGGCGTTCTGAAGCTTGTTTGACAGGTGCGTTAATTCCTTAACCAGCTGTCATTCGAGAGTGCTGAGGACCTTAAGTGATGGGCTGTAATTTCCCATTTCCCACGCATCCGACATTTTCCCATTTCCTATTCATCTGACCTTTCCCCATTTCCCGTGCATCTGACCTTGTCCCATTTCCCATGCTTCTGGCCTTTTCCCATTCTTGTATCTCTGATCTGAACTCCCATCGATGTGTGGTTAGGATGAGATGGGGCGATGTGTGTGTGGTATGAGACGATTCAACGCCGATGCATCACTCACACATCCGGCATTATCCACATCAGACCCGGTTACCTGCCCATCCATCAATAAGCCTTCCTCTATTCGACACCTATCCACTGATGATTGGGATGACATGGGGTGATGAGTGATGGGTGGGATGACATGGGGTGATGGGTGGCATGACATGGGGTGATGGGTGGGATGACATGGGGTCATGGGTGGGATGATGGGTGGCATGAGATGGGGTGATGGGTGATGGGTGAGATGGCACAGAGTGATGGGTGGGATGGCACAGGGTGATGGGTGGGATGCGGCACGCCTTGCATTGAATAAAGGCTGTAGAATACAGCAAGGCTGGCTTCATATGCATTTCTGATGTGGCGTTGTGTTGCTTGTTTGAGAGGTGTGTGGTCCTGAATTCCTGATGCAGCTGTCATTCGAGAGTGCTGAGGACCTTAAGTGATGGGCTCTAATATCCCAGCTCCAACACATCTGACAGTTTCCCATCTTCCATGCTTCTGACCTTTTCCCCATTTCCCGTGCATCAGACATTTTTCAATCCTGTGTACAATTGAACTTTTCCATCTCCCATGCTTCTGACCTTGTCTTATCTCCCATGCTTCTGGCCTCACTCTGACCTGAACTCCCATTGATGGTGGGTGGGTGGGATGAAAGGTGGTGATGTGTGGGATGAGGCGATTCAATATTGATGCATCACTCACACATCCTGCATTATCCACATCAGCACTGTTTACCCGCCCATTCATCAATCAGCCATCATCATCTATTCGTCATCTATCAATTTTGTCTGACCCTTTTCAGTAACCCCTTTCTGATGCATCTGACATTTTCCCATTTCCTATGCATCTTACCTTTTCCCATTTCCCGTGCATCAGACATTTTCCCATTCCACGTGCAACTGAACTTTTCCCTTCTCCCATGCCTTTGATTTTTCTTATTTCCCATTCTTGTATCGCTTATCCGAACTGTCATCGATGGGTGGGATGAGATGTGATGATGGGTGGGATGGCACAGGGTGATGGGTGAGATGGCACAGGGTGATGTGTGGGATGGCACAGGGTGATGGTTGAGATGGCACAGGGTGATGGGTGGGTGGGACGTCGTTTGATTTGTCTGACCCTTGCCAGTACCCCTATGCATCTGACATTTTCCCATTTTCCGTGCATTTGGCATTTTCTATCTATATTCTTATGTAGCCTTTCGTTTCCTAAGCATCTGGCATCTTTCTCAATTCCTATGCATCTTATATTTTCGCATTTCTTGTTCATATTATTTCGCATGCAGCTGACCTTTTCCCATCCCCCATTCAGCTGAGCATTTCCCTTCTCAACTTCATCAGTCCTTTTCCCTTTTCCCTTGAATCTGACATTCTCACAATTTCCAACCGTTTGGCCTCTTCCTATCCCTCATGCGTCTGAAATTTCCTCATATATCATGCAATTTCTGTTGCCATTGCTCGTGGATGCGTTCCCATAGCCATCTGGTGTGTCATCCTGCATATGTTTTTCCAGCTTTTATGCATGCATATGCGTACTCACTGGTCATGCGGCTGATCCCTTCCTTGAGGGCTACGGGCTGCTCCTGTGCAACACACGGTTGGACCATGCCTGTGCAATATCCCGTGCGCATTTGGACAAAGACAATGTTGGACCATCACCCTCTGCAATATCCCATCCTTTCATCACCATGGGTTGTCCGACTTGCAGGCTATGCGTCATCATCCATACAACATCCATGCATCTCTCGTACTTTCTGTAGCATCCACACAAAACCCGTTTACTCATTCATTCATCAGCAGTTCATCGTCGGTTCATCACCCGTTCATCGTCCGTTCGTCCAATCATCATCCATTCATCATCCATTCACCATTCCTTCATAATCCATTCACCATCCATTGATCTTCCATTCATCATTGATTCAAACCATGTGACCGAGACAGTGGAGGAAGATGCTTTAGACTCCCCATGCACCAGTCATCACAACAGAAACATGGTCCTTGTGTATAGCATGGAAACTGAAATACTGCATATTGTCCTAAGGTGTGGATCAATGTACATCGATAATATAATTCATTCCATTATTGACAAGTGTTCAGTTCACAAGTACAGTACCTCTTGTCGGATCCATTTTTGTATAGCACACCTAAGCAGTGTCCTAGTTCCACAAAAGCTGTTCGTTGGTCGTTGCAAGTTGAAACAACGAGAACATAGCAGAAAAGTGAAACTTCAACACACTAAAGATCTTAGGGAAATATCTGTCAGCATGTTTCTTTAGCAGTAAAGGGTGCGTCCTACTGAGTATTCCATTTAGGGTTTCGTTCACCACCAACCTGATCTCATCTCGCCATAATTCTGTTCTAGCAGCCGATCTCAGCTCCCAAGCATTCCCTTCCCTCCCACAACCAGTCTCGCTTCTCTGCAGTAAACCGCCCAGACTTCCCTCACTGGCCGCCTGCAAGCACGCTGCAACCCGCCCTTACTGACTAGATATTAGAGTTGCCACTGGATTATCTAGCGTGTTTTGTCCACCGCACTTTGCACGGTCTCACGTGATCAGCATTCGCGCCTTTTATCCGCCGCCCTAGACCTTGCTTACGGATTTGAGGATAGCCACACAGTTTCAGGCGTGCTCTGTCCACCGCACAGCCTGGTTATCCGTGACGTGGCGAAAATGGATTCACGTGCGAGAACACGTACCAGGTATGGACCCACCACTCATGCCACGTCACGCTGGTTCCGTTCACATGCATGCGCTATTAATGTCGGTGCCAATCGGAACCGTCGATGAAGTCTCGAAGAACACGGAGTGTTTTGAACCGTCCGATTTGTAACTCAGCCATGTATTGTTACATCACCCAACGTGAATGTGCTGGCGGAGGTTCCCTTCGTTGACAAATCGCAGCCACAGATGCACTTCTAGAAGGACCCTAGACAGTTTATAACCGTCCGATCTTCGTCAGCGCGTGCGCTGGCTGGAAACCACGCTGGGTCCCGACATTTGAGCGACACACCGGCCGCTTCGCGTTTGCCTGGCAGCGCGACAAACGAACGGTGGTGAAGCAACGTTCGCGAAGGTCCCTCCCTTCGTGAACTGGAGTTCCCCTCGCTGGCTGTCAGTAGAAATGGCACTCCGACGGCCATTTCTCTTCAGTCACAGCTTTTGAGTTGAGCATCTTCTTAATCACACCCTCTTGCAAGCACACTGCCCTCGATCTTTGCTCCTTGTGCCTGAGCCCCCCCAACTGCTCTAATGGCCTCGGCCAACCCTGAGACCGCTCTCGTGGCTGCTCTGGCTGCTGCCACGTTTCTTGGCAAGGCAGCGAAATACCTCTGGCAAGTACCCTTCTGGTTCGACTGCTCTGCAGTGAACCAGACTCCTTTCGAATGGCTTTGTGATTGGACTGCTGCTGATGAGGCAGAGCTGAGAGCAGCTTCAGCCAACACGCGACGTGCTACGTTGAGTCCCAGTGAGGAGTTGCTGCTCCTGGCTGGAATTACAGTAAGCACGTCAGAGTTTATAACGGAATGGACTGCTGCTGATGAGACAGAGCTGAGAGCAGTTTCAGCCAAGATGCGACGTACTACGCTGAGTCCCAGCGAGGAGTTGCTGCTCCTGGCTGGAATTACAGTGAGCACGTCAGAGTTTATCTCGGAGTGGACAAATGAGGATGAGGAATACTTAACAAGTGGTTCGGTAAAGAGCAGCAATGCCTGGAGTGTAAGCGAGTGGCTGGCAGAACGTGGTGTGGTGAACTCGGCTGAGTTCATCACGGAGTGGACTGAGGAGGATGAGGCGTATTTGAGAGGTGAATCGGTTACGAGTCTGGCAGGACGCAGTGAGGGTGAACAGTCGTGGATAGCGACATGCCAGCCCATGAGCTCGGCTGAAGTGGCGCTTAAGGTCGGTCGTTTCGCTGAGGCTGGGAAGAAGCGCCGGGAACGAGGCGTTGGAGCTCGCCTGGGCTTCTCCCCCTTGAGACCTGCTGCTGTCACCGCTGCTGCTGCTGTCGCTATGAATGCTGTTGCTTCTGCTGTTACGGCTGCTGCTGACGCGATCGGTGCTGCTGCTTCTGCTGCTGCTGAGGCTGTTGGTGCTGCTGCTACTGCTGCTGCTGACGCTGTTGCTGCTGCAGTTACGACTTCTATGCCTGCTGCTGCTGCTGTTTCACGCCAAATGGAGACCAAGACATCAGCAGCGATGAGGTCCACTGCGTGCAAGTCGACTGTACGACCAGTTGTGAAACCTGCAGCAAAGGCAGCAGCGAAGCCAGTGGTCAAGCCAGCAGCGAAACCCGCAGTCAAGGCTGCAGGGAAAGCCGCAGTAAAGGCTGCAGCGAATTCCGCTGTCAAGGCTGCAGGGAAACCCGCAGTCAAGGCTGCAGCGAAATCCGCAGTCAAGGCTGCAGCAAGTCCCGCAGTCAAGGCAGCAGCGAAGCCAGTGGTAAAGCCAGCAGCTTGCAAGCCAGCTGCGAAGCCGGCAGCCTGCAAACCAACAGTGAAGCCTGCGGTTGTCAAGCCAACAGTGAAGTATGCTGCATCATCTGCCACTGCCAGTGTTGGTGCTTCTGCTGCTGTTACATCACCTCTGAGGCGGGAATCGCAGAAGGGGTTGCAGGGAACAACAGGGGGGAGAAGGGGGCAAGTGAGCCAGGCTGCAAAAGCAGCCTCGCAGAAACAAGTGTCTCAGAAATCTAGGTGGAGGTGAATGATAGCTTATGTGTAGTGAACAATGTACATATTCGTGTATAGAACTAATCTATCTAGTTGAAATCGTCCAGGGACATTTGTTTGAGCAGAGGTAGTCCTCTGCTCTCTATCCTGCATAATCCATCCGCCACGCTACCTTGATTGAAGATTGGCCATGGGATACTGATCAGATCGGGTCGTTCTCCTGTGGTTTTATTGAAAAGTAGTGAGTTTTGGCCTTCTCTTGCCATGCTTGAGAATATGGTGGGTCTGATTTTCCATGCAGCTGTCTCTAGAGAGTTCTGTCTTATCTGAAGCTGCTAACTGCATAAGAATTCTCTTACACTTTCCTCCCTCACCTTTAGCCCTCCCCTCCCCTCCCCTCCCCTTCGCCGCCACCATCACTCTCATTCGAAAACTCTCTATTGATTTTACCTGTTCATGAACAAGTAGCCCGGGTGAGTGAGTGTATGAACTGACACTCC